GTACAGATTTCACATCCATAAGTGGGGGTAAATATAAAATGAGAGAAACCTAAAGTAAAACATACTTTTTTCCCCACATTTTCAACCTAAACTATGTCAAATTCAGTAACCCATAATCATAATGGCAGGGCCAATCTTCTTTAATTCCTATCAGGTACTTAATCCAGTTATCCATACTAATAAAGTGTTAATGATGATTATATATTATCTGATACAGCAGCATCCCATGCCATTCCATTCTTATTTGGCATGAAATACACCTTAACATGTTTAGAGAAATACAGAATTTTTTTTGTCAATTAGTTTTTTCCTATAAAGAAAATGTCACATTACCTGGTTTAAAATTTAACTGACAGATATTAATTTAGCAATGGAATATAGAGACTCAAAACATTATTCAGTTTAACTGAATTTTGAATTCAAATAACTATGGATATAGCATTTTATCTTTTAGAAGCATATCAATATGGATTCTGAAATTAAATGAAAATTCTTACTTGAAGGTATATATTCTTTTATCCCCTTACTCAGTACATTGTTTGTTCATACTGATTTGGGCTACATCAATAGTTCTTAATCTTGACTGACCATTTTAATCCCCTCAGAAGCTCAACACTTATGACTGGATCCACCCCAGATCAATTAAATCTAAATCCCTTGTAGTAGACCCGAACATTTTTTATGTCCCAATGATCCTAATATTTAGCCAGGGTTAAGAACTTCTAAACCAACTAAACTAATCACAGATCCTATTTAAAAGCTTATACCCTAGCATACAGGGATGTGTGTATATGCTAGGCACATGAAGATGAATAAAATACATCTCTCAGTGTAAACATTTTAACAGACATATCCCTAGGGTGCTATGAAAACATAGAAAAGTTACCTGGAATCTAATAATGGGGGAAAGGTTAAGGTAGAGTTGGTGAAGATTTCTGGAGAAGGTAATAAATGGGTAAGAACCAACCAGAGGTAAGGGGGTGGGGGGAAATACAGGCACCAACCAGAGAGAAAAACAAAAGCAAAGAGTTGGGAAACAAAGTTAAACAGAGAATCACTCACAGTTTGGCAGTACCAATAAAGTACTAGGCATGAAATTAAGGAAAAATAAATAGGAAACTTTGGAAGAGAATGAATATGGACATTCTTGCATGCCATAATAAGGAGCCTGAAGTTTACTTACACTACAGGTGAGGGCAATCTGTGATGTGTTAAGCAGGAAAAGAACATGGCTAGGCTATATTCTGGACAGATGTCTGGAAGCCATGAGGAAGAGAGAGAACAGCTAACAGGCACTGAGCATTCCTGTGCCAGGCAGTGTGCTGCTGAGCACCTTACATTGTCTTTGCTAATCTTCCAACCACAACTCTAAACAGACAAAATTATCTTTATTATATAATGAGTAATTTGCCCAAGTCACATGGTCATTATGGGTAGAGAAGGATTCAAAACAATTCAGAGCCCACTAGTCTAGGCCTTTAACTTCTAGGAGGATAGACTAGAAGTTGAAGAATGAGAAGCAGCAGAGGCTACAAGCTAATAAATTAGTTAGGAAACTATTACATTACCCCACAAGAGACAATGAGGACAATGTTAGTAGGGAGGAAGAAAGGGGAATGAATTTCAGAAATATAAGTTTCAAAAATTATCAAAATCACATGATTCATCTTTGAAAATGAATAAAATTCTGACACATACTACAACTTTGAAAACATTATGCTAAGTAAAATAAGCCAGTCGTAAAAGGATAAATATTACATGATTTCATTTACTGCTACCCAGAACTGCCAACTCCATAGAAACAAAAACAAAACAAAAAAGAAATGACAAGGGACTGAATCAAAAGCTGTCAGGAATATATTTTATGAAACAGTAAAAATATTAAGCCCCCATAAATCCTTACCTTTTAAACCTACAATAGATACTTAATATCTCTGGTAATCTACAACACAGGAAAACTAAGCAAGTATAGTTAATCATAACTAGTTGTAAACTACGTATAGAACAGAAAAACTACTTATAAATTTTTTTCAAGGGTTGTCCCTGTGACCTAGTGGTTTAGAGAGCCAGGTATTATATAGCCAAATGCAGTTCAAGACCGGCCCCAGCAGCTTGAAAACATGCCAGGTGTGTGTGTGCACGGATAGAAAAATGGAAGAACAGATATTATAGTATGGCCAAATCCCACTGGGAGGGGTTCCTCTGTCTCTATCTCTTTCTTTCTCTATCTCTCTGGCATTAAGAAAAATAATTTTTTTTTGAAAATTAGATCAGCATAAGCTTACCAGACTATTACCTATCTTAAAGGCATCCTATAGTAAATAAACATTTTATAAAGTCAGTATTCTTGAATGTTTGGGTTTGGGGGTTTTAGATATAAACCCATTTTAAAACTAACAAGTAAATTATATATGTTAACCAATATATAAAAAGCCCATAAGATACAGTAACACTAATCTAAAGCCTACTGTGGTACCAGAAGCTTTAAATACTCTCTATATGTCATCCGATAATTCTAAAAATTGTGAGACTGGAATTATCCCATTTGCTGACTTTTAACTGAATTTCAGAGAGTAATAGCTTGCTTGTAAACAGTGAAATCTAGAATTTGAACCTATAGTGACTTCAGAGGGCAAGCTCTCAAACACGCCTGTCTCAACAATCCTTGATTACTATCTAACTTATCTGCTTTCCCATATCAGAAAATATACATGACGACATCTAATGATTAACTGTAGAATAAATCCTTGACTTACTGCACCAAAAATCTACAATGATCAAACAGAATCCAGGGGAAAAAAAATGAAAACACACCCTTATTTTAAATTTGTGATTACTATTACCTGAAAACCAAATATTCTATGATCATGAGTTTAACCTACAGATTTTCGAATTTGTATATAATATGTGGAAAATATCGTTAAACAGTACTCAAAAACATTATTTAGTGCCCGAGGATGCATGGTTCACCAGAGAGTGACAGAGACAGAGGAAGAAAGCATCCACCAATAAAGTGTGGGTGCACCACAATTTCTTTTCCGTTTCTCCATCCTATCAGGATTCTGGGCATGCATGCACACACATAAATCAAGCATGGTTTTTAAGCTGCCAGGACCAAGATTAGAACCACAGGGATCTAGTTCTTTAACCACTAGACAATGCAGTTCACCCTCTCCCAATTTTTTTTTTTTTGAGAGTTTTTTTTGTTATAGGGCACATGCACTTGCCAGAAGATAGAGAGAAGAAAGCAAGAAATCACCCCCAGGAGATGTGGCCACACTGCGATCACTTCTACATTTTTCTCTCGGGATTTTAGGCACACACACACATGCCACCTGGCATAGGTTTCAAACCACCAGGTCCAGGACTCGAACTGCGGTCAACTACATGGCAGTCCAGCAACATAACATTACACCATCTGCTGGTCCCCAAAAAACTCTTAATTTTAATACTTTACACTAAAATAAAAACAAAATCTTCCTAGAAGATTTTTAATGGGTTTCATCAAACATCTGAAATGTTCTACAACAGGTTAAATAGTTTCTGACAGCCATTAGTCAGTCATTTGAAACTATCAAAAAAGTTTCTGATGTGGGCTGACCCTGTAAACTAATGGTTATAGGAACCAGATTCCACATGACTGACTGAAGTTTAAATCCCAGCACCAGCAGATTGAAAAAAAAAAAAAACATGTTTAGTACATGTATACACGCCCCCAAATCCTTACAGGATAGAGGAATGGAGAAGGGGAAATGGAGCAGCATGACCACGCCCCGTTAAGAAGGGGTGCTTTCTCCCTCTCTCCATTTCTCCATTTCTGGCAAGCACATATGCCCTATGGCAATTTAAAAAAAAATAGTAGTTTCTGATGAACTTTGTTCAGGGTCTCTTTCCTCTATCCTGTATCATTTCCCTAGGTAGGAAATTTAAAATAGTCTGAACATGATATGTTATGATAGCACTTAACTGTCTACTTCTACAGTGTTATACAGTGGCTCGAGAGGACGATGAAACCATTAGCTAGAGCATAACCCTTCATTTGTCACACATCACTGAACTGTATGAAGGGAATTAGTTATGAGACATTTTATTGTACTTTTTTTTAAAAAAAATCCCTGTAAATTAATAACTCAGACCTATTTTCAGTATGGAAAGTTAATTAGAATCTATTTTTCAGTGGTTTGAATTTCAAACAAAATTAAGTAAAACTAGTTCTTTTAACAGAAAGGGGGAAACAAGATTACTAGTAAGGTAATTCCTCATGTAGGG